TCTCAATCTTCCTCGTGTATTTTGAACTTTCTTACAAACAGATGCCATACAATCCAGCTCTCCTTTATTTTATTAAATTTTTTTATGGTGTGACACTTCAGGATTTCTGACTGCTTTCTTCAGTTACTTGAGCATTGATTTCTTCTTTGACCATCTATATGAATTCTTTCTAACCTGTCTTTTAAATCTCAGTTTTCTCAGTGGCCTGAACTTGAATAGCCCAAATTGTTCCTCTAAGGAATGAAGCAAGCTGCAAAGGTGTGTTGACCTGTAGGGTAAGCCTGTCAGGCCTCTGTTTGCCTGAGTGACTGAAGATCCTTTCAAGAAAGACATAGTTTGGTTAAGGACAATGGGTTGAGGTCTACAAGAAAGATGTGCGTCTGAGAATAACGCCATGTTTATCATTCAAATTTTGCAAGAGAGTTTCAAATAAAACACTTTGAAAATCTACCTGAGCTCTTTTTCTTCTATCTTTGGTGGATATTGAGTATAAGACATTCTGATAACCTGTCAGAAGTACTACCCTGATAAGAAATGGTGTTTAAAGCAGCAGGAGAAGTGATATTATTGGTGTCAACAATAATGTTAGTTTAAGGCAAGGTACCTTCTCTAGAACTCCAGACTTTAGTACTAGTTCTTCTCTCACTGAGGTCAACACATACTTAATCTGTGCCTTGGCAGCCTGGGGCACACATCCACTGGCTTGGCAGGGAAGCAGTGCCTCCTGTGGTCCCTGGCAATCAAGCTACTATTTTCAACATCTGTATTGAGAGGTGATTTGTGTGTGTATGTGTGCACACTCAATCTTCAATCTCTGGGGTTTCATCATGCAGAAGAATCACAACTGTTTCCTGTTTTAATTTTATAGAAGAAATGTGGGGGTTCAGGACTTTGACCTGGCTATTAAACTAAGAATTTTGAATTTCAAAGCTTCTGATGGGTGTTATTGTTGTCATAGATGGACATTAATAGAAAGATGCCTTTTTAGGGGCCTCAGATTATTACTCAGTTCTTAAAAATAATGTTTGATTATCAGAAATATACACACATACACGTATACACACAAACAATATTTTCTCAGGGTGAGGATAAGAGGACTAAAAAGGGAAATTGCCACTGCCTTTCAAAATAACAGAAATGCTAATATAATAAGTGGCCATGTAAAGGTAGGTAATAATAATTTTCTTTCTTAATATGACTGGAAACTCTGTTCTTCTGAGGACTACCATATTTCCTCAAGATGCGAATGTATGCGTGCATGTGGGTCCCTGTATTTACTAGTAGATGAATTAAGGAAGAATGAGAAGGCAGCTCTTACTAAAGGGATACCTCAGAAGAAGCTATATTTGACTGAATAACTCAGAATTCTAAGGAATATATTTTTATGGGTTACTGAATTGCATAGCATTCTTGAAGTTGTTGAGACTCAACAGAAAACTATACCTCGAAATGAAGGCCTCAGAAGCAGCCTCAGAAGCAAAAATTTTTTCTTTGACCTTCTCCTTCTCTCCTGTCTCTCTGTCCCATTCTCCCCTGAGCCTAGCCATGGAAACTAGAATTATTCTTTCCCAAGGCAGGTCATAGAAACCAGGATTCCCTTTCCCCAAAGCCAGCCATAAAGCCTAAACATATTACCTAACTTCACCTCAGCCTTTCTGTGTAAAAACTGTACATAAAGAAATTATCTGACCTATCTTGTTTGACTGTAGGTCACAAGACACCCACTCCAGAGAGGGTCCTGCCCCACACCCAGGAGGAAGGAATGCTATAACAGAGGCCAAGAAGAATCTAAGCAGACAGGCCTTGCTGGGCTTCTCCACTCAGTATGAGCATGAGATCATACCCTTTTTGTTCAATATTTCTACATGGATGATAATACTTTGTTTAACCTAAGAATAAAAATGGACAGTTTTCTCTATATCTTTGGGTCTTCATTCTGAAGGCTCTTGTGTACATGTGAAATAAATTTATATGCCTTTTCTGTAATTAATCTGCCTTTTTTGAGTGAACCTTCAGAGAGGAAAGGGGAAGTTTTCCCTTGGCCTCTATAAGGTGTAGATGGATCTTAAAGGCAGACAGGGTATCAGATTTCACTCAAATGGGGAACTATGCATGGCTATAGATGCAGTTACCGTTGGAAACTATCATGTAATTACTGAGGAAGTTGAGACCATTGGAAAAATTTACACCCTGTGGATCTATTTATTTTGGTGTTGTCTCTTCTTTTGTATTTGACCCTATTATAAATACCAAAAATAAAACCTAATGACAACTTTTACTATTAATACCTACCAGGTCTGAAATGGAGTTCTCATAGTTCTTTAATTACTTTCTACCAATTCCATGTCCTGCTGCATTTCCCAGCCCAGATGCTCTGAGTTGCAAGTCTCAGCCAGCTTCTTTGTCCTCCATCCTCACTGCCAGAAATAAAGGATTGAGTTTTTGACATGCTGAATTTGAGATTTCTATTAGGCAGCCAAGTGGTGATGTCAAACAAGCTGTTTTATCTGGAGTTTAACGAGAAGGTTTGGACTGTTAAATCTGGTTGTTGCTAGCATACATACTGTGTTTAAAACTAAGAGACTAGGTAGGATAATTATAGTCAAGAGAGTCAATGCCCTGGGACATCTTAACAATTGGGGAAGGTGGAGGTAAAGAGGAGAAAAAATAATAAAGATGGAAAATATAAAAAATGGAAAAAGGAATGATTCAGTGACAAAGGAGGAAAACTTGGAGATTTTGGTATCCTTAAGACAGGTGAAGTCAATGCAAAGATGGTGGTGAATCAGTGCCATCATATACTAGTGATAGGTTAAGTAAGATGCGGCATGAATATGGACTGGTAGAGGTCATTGGTGACTTCATAACAGCAGATGTATTTGAATGAGGTGGTCAAAATCCTTTTTGGACTGGATTTAATAGAGAATGGGGGAAGAAAAGTTGAAGACATTAGGAAAAGATAGGAGAGCAAAGAAATAGGGTGGTAGATGGTAGAGAAGTGGGGTTAAGAGAAGGTAATATTTAGATGTGAGTTGTTACTGCATTTCAGAGGAAATAAAATGAGAAGGAAATATTTTGAGCCAGTCTGTATCCCCTATTCTCTTGCAATTTCTGTCTCATTATGATAAAAAAGAAAGAAATGTGGTCCAGATTTTGATAGGCTGAAGACAACAACCCAACCTTCACAGGGACTTTATCAGCTCAGATGTGCAGTTTCTCCTTTCTTCTTTCAGAACTAGACCTCTCACCCAGGGAACATTCGGAATTTAACAGGAGAATCTTCATCCCGGCCCCTGATGTTGACAGTCCCATTCTTCCATGGAACTCTGCTGTTTCTCTGACATGCTTGCTTCCACCCACATCCCTCCTTCCAGCTCAAGCAGTAGCGCAGACTGGCTGCCTCCAAAAGATCATCGCTAATTCTCACCATGCCTCATCCCCTGTGTGCCCATTCTGTCTTTGGGACTACTGAAGTGAAATCCAGTAGTTTTGAAAGAACCTGACTGCCTGTCCCAAGCTTTAGCTCCACCATTGCAGTTTCCCACTGAATTAATAGTTCGTTGTTTTTTCAATGCGTAATAAAAGAAATAACTAAGATGAAAACGACCTAAACTTGGTGGTATACTTACAAATAAACAGGATTTATTCTGTAGTTCATTGTTAAAGTATCGATTGGAAGAACAATAAATTAGATATTTTTTGTTGTTGAATGCTAACAGACTTTTATCTGCTATAGCAAACCACTTTTCTTCTAAAACATAGCATGCAAAACAGTAACATAATCCATGCTCTTATCTGGGGCAGCGATTTAAACTGTAAAAGCACCTCTCTGCCCCCTCCTCCAGACACAGCATGATTTTAACAGCAGCATTTTTATCACGATGATAATAAGGGAGTCGTGCCTCTGCTTGCCCCTCTTTCAAGGAGCAAACTGTGATGTCAGCATGTCACTAACATACTAGATATGTATCTCTAGAGGTTGCTATGGCAAGCCTGGAACCAGAGCCTCCCTAAGGAGCCTTAGCTACTGCCGCCTGACAGACTAAGCATTCTCAGGCATTTCCTGTTAGACTCTGTGTTGGCGTCAGTTATGAAAGCAGTTGCTTACAATTCTGGCAGTAGATTAGCACCGGGTAAGCATGGGGACAAAGTCTCATCCAGTCACAAAGTGTCACTTAATCTGACAGAGGAATTTCTGGGGCTGGAAATGTATCAAGTGCAATGGGACACTAAGGAAATATGTTAAAAGCCAGTTTCTGGCAGTTTTGTGATAAATCATTCTACCCCCACTTCAAACAAACAGAGCAACTTTCAAATTAAGAGATTCACTCTTACGTCAATGATTGGGCTAAAAAGAATGAAGATGTAAAAGATAATGGGAGAAGAGAAACCAACAATACTAGAGCAAGAAAAGAATTCTCTGAAATTGCATCTTGTGTTGGTTGGTAAGATTAGTTTTCATAGTAGACAACAAATACAATTCTCCTCTGGTAAGGCATCATACATTTTCATAAATCAAACATGCAAGGCTCACCATGGTAATAGTTGCCAGTCACGAGAAAAGTATTAAGGCTCTACCCTTCATTATGATGGGCTGTATCATATTATTTGTTAACCTTTAACTATTTACCAAGTTTAGAATCTGAAATAATATCTTTTTTGGTTCATAACGGAGCTGACATTATCGTCTGATATGGATTGGCTTCGTCTCCACCCAAAACTCGAATTGTATCTCCCAGAATTCCCACGTGTTGTAGGAGAGAACCAGGGGGAGGTAATTAAATTATGGGGGCTGCTCTTACCAGTGCTATTCTTGCGACAGTGAATAAGTCTCATGAGATATGATGGGTTTATCAGGGATTTCCGCTTTTGCTTCTTCCCCATTTTCTCTTGCCACTGCCATGTAAGAAGTGCCTTTTACTTCCTGCTATGATTCTGAGGTCTCCCCAGCCATGTGGAACTGCAAGTCCAATTAAACCCCTTTTTCTTCCCAATCTTAGGTCTTTATCAGCAGCCTGAAAATGGACTGGTATCACATCTTAAAGTAAAATGGAATAATTAGTACTTCAAATCAAGAAACCAATATGCAAGGTAATAACTTTGTTTTCTTTTGTTATAGTGACACAGTTAAACTCTTTGGGTATTCAACAATATAAGGCAAGTAGGGCAGGGGTTCAGGAGGGAGTATTGGGAAGTCATGGAGGAGATTTGGGAATGTTCATTCATGGGACTCATGATGAAACAGATAACACTGTGAATTATCAAGAGACAAAGCAGGAAAATCAGAAGGTTCTTGCCTTTACTATTTTTAGGGATCAATATCAGTGTTCTTGGACTGTGAGAAACATGGGAATGAGAAGACCTCCCAGAGTAGAGGAGACAGATGGGCAGTTCTGTCACTGGCACAGTAAGTTTCCTAGAGAGCTTGCCACTCTTGCCTAGTTCTGCCACTTGGGGGTGGGAAGTACATCAGGTGGCTTTCCTGGGTATTGCAATGACAACTCATTGTTGTCGCTCCGGAGCACTGTCTGGAACCCACAGTATGGCAAGGCTGGGGGAAATTTTTGTGACATGCTATTCCCGATACACACATTATACCTAACATTTGTTAACACTGTTGGATGACATTACTTTTTGTTTCCATGTCCTGAATAAGGCCTTTGTTCATTGAAGGTACAAGAAAAATACAGAGTCCTTATTCTTATAAGCAGTATGCAAATTCACACACCTTAGGGTCTTCATTGGCTTCCTCACAGAGGTGATGAGTTGGGCTTGATGTCCATCCACACTTGGACCTGGACTGGATAACTGCATGCAGGCTGTGGGTTAAGGGTCAGTTTTCAGTCTTGCAACAGGGCAAAATCAGTTGGCTAAGGACAAAATTGAATCTGTGTTCTTGGATTTATAGGAAGGATAAACTCATCTCCTGAGTGAACCTGGGAGAGCTGAAGAGCCATTCAAGCATCAATGACATGCTGTGTAGTAAAGTGCTCGGGGTCCGGGGAAGTTCGGTACCGGGATCCTCAGAGCTCTGAACCCTTGGGGCTGCTATGGGTTCCGGAGTATTTCACTGATTTCAGTTATCTAGTGGCGTTTCATGTCTACTGGTGAGTATTGAAGAAGTCAGTCTCTATAGTAGACAGATACTCATGTAATATAACCTATTAGAGAATTGCTAGACCTGAACTTTTATTGGAGAAATATTATGACTCATTCAGAATAGTCTTTCAAACAGAGGTGTGCTAATGCCAATGGAAACACTCTGCTTAAATATTACCACATTTCCCTTCCCCCGATTATCATAAAATCCTCTTCTTTACTTTCCTTGGGTGCCACAATTTATTTGTCTAACAGAATTAGAGATTGTGGCTATCTCTAAGGAAAATTTTATAATTTTTTTGAGGTAAAGGAATAAACTGGCAGATTTTAGCACCTTAAGTCTTTCTTTAGATTCTGTGATGTGGTATTCTTTTCCACATCAGCATGAAGGAGCATATAAAAAGCACCCCATTTTAGGAATAGAAATTAATTTGAGTCAGAAGAACAGTAAAAGGTAATCCACATGGCATGCCTTTGTCAAAGAGACAGACATTTCCAATGCAATTCTTAAGGGAGGAAGGTGGTTATAATAGAATATAACAGCTCTCTGGGGGGAAGAATTCTTTTCCTATATGATGAGGATGGTTATGCATTATATCTGCAGCAGTTTTCCCTTGAATCCAGACACCAGATCTGTTAAGGGGATTTGGGAAAAGACCAATGTGTGGTGAAGGTAAGGAGGAAAGATTGGTTCAGATTTGCCCAAAAGTACATTAGGAAACAGAATATTAGCATCCACTAGGTGTTTGTCAGATGGTAGCAATTTCCAGCAACAACATAATGGGGACATGTCAGCAACAGACCTGAATTGGTTATCTAGAGATGAAAGGCTCCCCAGACCCTCGTTTTCTCTTGGATTCAGCTTTTGATTGTGTGCTTTGTCCTTCGTATCTCTTTTCTTCACTATCTCATTGGTTCCCTTTTTTCTTTTTAGAATCTCAAGCTTATCTTTTAAACTGATTTATCTCAGGCTTTATGCTCAAGGAGCAGCTGAAACTAACAGGAAAAATACAAAGAACAAACCTGGGTATTTTTAAAAAATTATTGTCAGAGAACAGATGCTGTGGCAGGTGCTGCTGGTAAGATATTATAATCAAACAGGGAAAATACATGTAGAATTTTATTTTTCGATCTTAGGACAGGGCTCTCAATATGCTGATTCATTCATGTGGTTAAGGACAAATTAGTATTTCAGAAATATGCCCACAGTCCATGAGATAGTGATATGTGACAGAATTTTATGTGTATTCCCCTATTGCAGATTCATCTGGGAGAAATGATATTTGCCTCATAATTAAATCCTTATTACATTACATTTAATGCTATAGTGAAACAGCAATTGCTCTCTGCTCTCGAAGAAGAGGGGATGTTAAATTATTCAAATGAATCTCAATATCCAAAAAAGTGACTGGTTTTGATAAATCCCTGTGTTTTGATTATAAATAAAATATTCAAGTTTTTTGTTTGTGCACTTGTATTAGGTCTGGTGCGACAAATTTCTCCCTAAATTGCTTATATCTCAAATATTCTTTTTTGCTTAGCCTTTATTGCTATTCTTGGGACCAAAAAGATACCTATGAGTTCCTTTTTAATGGCCCTTTTGACTAATTTTCAAACACTCAGTTGTCATATGTTAGCAAACTGTTGAGAGTGGGATTTAATCTTGTTCTTCTTCACAGACAATCAGCTGTGTACTAGGCCTTAGTTCTTTCTGTGGGTTGCTCAGGTATCTGGTCTACACTGTGGGCTAGGCAGATATCTGGTCCACATCTGGTCTCTGGGGCTGCCACTGAATCTTCTTGACTTTGGAAAGAAGTATATCTCAGTTTTTAAAGCAAGACTATTACCTGGAAAGGTTGTTAGAATATTTTATTGATTTAGAAATGTATTTGGCCAGGCGCAGTGGCTCACACCTGTAATCCCAGCATTTTGAAGGCTGAGGCTGGAAGATTGCTTGAGCTCAGCTGGTGCAACATCATGGCAAAGCCACGTCTCTACATAACAATACAAAACAATTAGCCAGGCATAGTGGCACAAGCCTGTGCTTCTAGCTACTTAGGAGGCTGAGGCGGGAGGATTGCTTGAGCTGGATTGCAGTGAGCCGAGATTGCACCACTAGACTCCAACCTAGGCAACAGAACCTGTCTCAAAATGAAACAAAACAAGAAAAAATATAATTTCTAGTATGGCTCAATCAGTGTTCATTCAGTGAAAGTGCTAAGCATTTTGATGTTAATTTTGAAGGTGTATTCACCTTCATTTTATCCAGGCTTTTATGTTTCAAAGCGTTTTTTTCAGATTTATAGTGGTGATATTTTTAAAGATGAATGATTCTTATGAACAGACTTCATGCTACAGTTCTTGTTCCAAAATTATACCTACAATTTCTCTGGGCCAACAGAACTTGAAACCTGTTAGTAATTTTCTTTCTTCCAGCATGCCTTTGGGTTGATGGAAATGCTCAGGGTGACATCTCCTCACAAGTGGAGTTGGAGCTCTTCTTGGGGGAACACTGAAATATCTTTGAAGGCTAGGCAATTCCCTCACTTTCATTGGTCCATTTATCTGACTGGAAGAGAGCTAAGAGAAAAACTGATTCAAGAATCGGTTATGAAGTAGAAGAAACACAAGGCTTGTAGTCAAGGTATCCTTGATTCAGACATATTTGCCACTTCTTAGCAATGCAACTTAGACTTTCTGGAACCAACTTTCCTATACCAAAGAATGAAGACCTGGCAGAGTTATTTTTAAATAGTAAGTGCAATAACCCGCAAAATCTCTGGCAGTTGTCATAAGTGGGAACTTTTACCTATTTTCCTCCCATTCTCTGAGTCTTACCTTATTTGTAAAATGTAGAAAACAATAATCGCCTTTTGGGGTTATGGTGAGACTTCAAGTGCATATGGCCTTATCCATGATTAGAGAGTTATCTAAAAAGTGTCTTCCAAAAACAACAATAACAACAAAAACCTTGTTTAACCCATCCTCCTACTTCCTGCTTTACAGACAAGCACATTGTGGTTGGGCAGAGGTAGGCTTGGACATAGACACATTGACCAGTACTCTTCATTATGTTGTTATTACTGACTATTTGAATATTCTAGATATTCTGGCTTGGGGAGTTGAAGACTAAATTTTGAAGCATAAATTGAGCAGAGTGAATATAATACTAGACTTCCACAATGTCAATAATCATTTGGATATGGCTCCCTGAACATTCAGATTTACCAGAAGAAAAAAATCAATGTGCTGAGAATATTAAACTGGATTTTAACTTAAAAAACATCTTTAAATATAATTTATACAACTGTTTCAGGTTGAACAAAACCATTCTTTTCGGTTATCTTGGTTTTTTTTGAGTGTTGTTGGTGTTAGTTCATATAAGAATTTTGTCTTAGCAAGTTCTTTACTAAGTGTCTCTTTACCCTGAAATGCCAAATAATACCCTTATTCCATATGCCACCGATACCAAAGTCAGATAAAAGGGGTTTCATTGCAAGGCTAAGAAAGAGCTAATTTTCTAAAATTGGAACATTATCTGTCATGTGTTACTACTCTGTAATTATGACTATTATTCTCATTGGGAAAAAAGAGATATTTCAGGAGGGGAATAGATTTTTATAAGAGGCTTTTAATATAAATGGGCAATTATATTAAAATACTGACTTTCATACTTAGCCACTGTGTTGTAGATACATTATATTATATTTGATTTAAATTTAGTAAATTATATGCATGTGCAAACTTAAAATATATGAGTACTGCTTCCTTAAATGAAAGGCATGAATAGTCTTGTGAAATAGATTTTTGAGAAATGGATTCATAACTTTTATGCTTGCAAAGCTTTTATTGTTAATGCATTGTTTTTTCTTTTTTGGTAAAGAATGAATCATTTTCATTTGGCAATGATTCTGACTTTTTTTCTTTGCAAGAATGATTATACTTTTTAAATCATTTGTGGGACTGAACAAAGGGCAGTGGTAAAAATAAAAATTATAACCATGATTCATCTTTTTCTAGAAGATGAGGATGGTACTAAATATTATGAAGAATCTTTCAGTTTTGCTTTAAGTGATGTGTTGAAGGAGAATTCACAAACAGATAGAACATTTGGACAGGAAAGGAAATAATCACATTTGATCTTTGCTGAATTTAAGAAGTTTACATTGAGTAGTTGTGAGGACAAAAATCTTCCAAGTATAATTCACCTCAAATGTCACTCTCAGCAAAGGAAAATCCAAGATTTGTAGGCCAGAAGTTTGTTCAGTTTTGGAATCCTTATAAAGGAAAACAATAGGAGATTAAAAATATATAAAACGGACCAAAGATGGTATTTATTTGGAATGAGAAGAGAAATTAAACAAAATATAAATTTTATAAAATTGACAAATAGTACAAGTATATCTGGAAAATATCATAATATTTTAAATTATAACTGCCTGACACATCTTTAGGATACTCTTCTCTTTATATTTTTGGCTGATTAGATTTTTATTGATTTTTTATGTGAAATGATTTTGTAATAGCATTTTCTATGGAAAGACTATGAAGATAATTCAGTGTTTCATCTAACATGGTTGACTGAAATTTGTTATTTTCAATAGTTGGGATGCCTAAGCTTGACCACACGCAGATGTACGACTGTGTAGCACTGTTGCCCTTTAAACACAGGACCCTAGGGCTGGGTGCAGCGGATCATGCCTATAATCTTAGCACTTTGGGAGGCCAAGCAGGAAGGGTCGCTTGGGGCCAGCAGTTGGAGGTTGCAGTGAACTATGATTGCCACACTACACTCCAGCCTAGGGGACAGAGCGAGGCCCTGCCTCAAAAATAAAATAATAAACACAGGAGTTTTGAAACATTCAATTTCACATAATTTCCAGAAAAAAACATAGTTTATCTGTAACTATATACACTGCATTAGTGATTCTTCCCCAATAAGTGAGAACTTCTGTTTTGGTAAGAATGATAAATGAATCCTCTACTTAGACTTTTACCCATC